GGAAGAAAATATGTCTAGAATTCATTCATTACCAAAAAATTAATTTCATATGACATTTTTTTAAATTGTTTTATTTATTGTAAATTTTTTTTTACATTTTCGACTTGCATCATTCAAATATTTTGTTTTATGCGTTTGAATATATTTCCATAAAAAATATTAAATACTTTTTAAATTTGTTAACAATAAATGTAGAAAGAAGAAGCACGTCTGCAAACATTGGTGATTAATCGGCGGTTAAATATTTGGCATCAGCTTTCAGGCAGTTCATCAAATTCGCATTTCGCTAGTTGTTTGCTCTTGAAATCCACACGACTCGCTTAAATGCATGCCGCATGCCGCATGTCGCATGTCGCATGCCACATGCCGTACTGGCTTTGCCATCAGTCATGCATGCAAACAGGAAGACGAAGTCGAGCAACTGCAGCAGCAGGCGGATGAGCAGCAGAGGGGAGGGTACGGGAAATGGCAATCAATCAGCTGGACAAACTATTAGAGCAAAAGCTCACTTAGCCCCCGCTGCCCCGCTGCCCCGTTGCCCCGCTGCGACCCCGCTTGCAGACTCAACGAGCTGAACTGCGTAATGGAATTGTGTATTAATTTGATATACATATACATATGTATGTGAGTGTATGTGTGTGTGTGCACGTAATTTATTTAGCATTATATACCCATAAACGATTTATATAATAAATTGGCAGCCATCTAAAATTGTCGGGATTGACGATGATTTTGTATTGTCGAGCGAACTGCAGCAATTAATGTGAGATCGCTCGCGTGGGGCAGACACACGATGCGTTTGCAACATTGAAACTTTTTTATGTGGCACCCACAGATACCGCACATTGAATACCCTACCCCTCCTCCCACCCCTTGCCATGGGGCACCACACACGATTTCAAATGCGCAGTTATGAGTTTGTCCTTGCACAGGAACAACGCGACGACAAGCGAAGGTTTCCGGCAATTGCCCCAGAGCAAGAGAGCGAAACGCTGGCGTTTGTACAGCGTGCGGCGTATGGATTTGCGAATACCCTGTAATTGCCATTGGATAATAATACAAACATAAAACAAGTAAGAGGCTCAAGTCGAGAACTCCCGACTTGGGGATACCCTGAACCCTCTTCTTCCCAACATCAAATGCATATATATATTCTATACCCATTTTTAATGGGTTCAGGGTATAAAAAAACGAATTGAGCACAAAACATAAAACGATATATGCTCATACATATAAAACATGTGCATAGATATCAACATACGCTGTAATTGCACGCAGAAGAGTATATTGATTTTATTACAACAAATCAGTCGAAGCTATTTCTCTTTGGCGCTTGCTCTCTTGATTGTTCCTTGTGCTGAGCTTGTCAGTGAAGAACTGGGATCGCTCTGGCTTAACATAAAGATATAAGTCATATTAAACTTTTAAAATATAAATCCAAATATATTGCAGACTTAATCAAAGCAATAGAAATTCAGCACAAATAAAAAAAATATTATAAAATTTAAAAAAAGTTAATCAAATCAAATGAAATGGAACAAGAAAAGATAATAAAGGGAAGGAAATTTTATTTTATTTCGTCAAGAAAAACTGAACTACTATACAAATAAAAATAAAATATATAAAATATGCATAAAAAAAAAAAACATTTAAAAATAATTCCTCTAAATTTTATCGCTCACTCTCAACTTTAATAATTTATTAAATTTACACATTTTAAATTAATTGAAATTGCATAGAAAAATAAAGCCACATACTTTTAGTTGCATTACCTTTATGTTAAGGCTACAAGATCTGAAGCGTACTTGGACAGTTTTTATAGAAATTGAAAATAAATAAGATCTTTGCTTAAGCCCTGGCTTGACATGTGCTTGTTAAAGCCCATGTTAGCTGACAAGCAGTTAGTTAATCAGTTTTGATTCAGTTGTCAAATGATGACATTTTGACTGAGGCGAAAAGACGTGCTTGAATTGATCGTAAAGGCAGGCTAAGCTACCCCTTAGTCATTCCCAAGATTACATGGTATAACACAAACGCTTGCTCATGTTTGCCTTGTGCGTGTGTGTGTGTGTGTGCGTGAAATTTCATTTGAATGTGTCTCAGTGGACAAATCAAAGTTAACGAAGCTTCAGCTGCAAATCTAGCTCCGACAGCTGCTGCAGGAAAAACAACGTAGCGCAGCGCAGAAAAGCGCACACCAAAGGAAAATTGAAAAATCAGCAACGATGCGAGAAAAACAATAAGAAAAAAAAACGAGTGGACAGACATGTAACAGTGCCTGCTAAAACTATGATAGGCAGCATATTTGCTGTACTTTCACTTTTCTTCTCCTCAATTAAGTATTGACGATATTAAATCAAGTTCAAACGTGCCGAGAACTTGATTAAAGTTGCATTCTACAAAAGCCAAACTTTTTACTACAACATTGCGCCACGCCCAGCGCATTTCGATGGGCTGCAGTTGTCAGTAGAATTTGCGGCAGGTTTCAAGTTGCAAGTTGCAGATTGCAGCGACGCGAACTTCGCTTGATTTGTGTGCAGGCGCCTTCAAGGTCACGCGACGTTTTGGCGTCTGTAAAAGGGGCTGAGGGGGGAAGGAGGAGGAGGAGGAGGAGGGAGAGGGCGCCAAAAGGGTTTAGGTGTGCACTTTGCTATGCGGCATTGTAGATTGGCCATAAATTCAATGCACTTGAACCGAATGCCCCCCCTGGGCTGGGGGCAAACGTCATGGTGGTCGGGCTCGAGAGCCTGGGTCGGCTGGGTCGGCTGGCCACAGGGCGCAATGGCTCGGCGCTTAATGCTTCCTTGTCAGCAGTTTATGCGTCGTTCGGCCATTTGCACAAATTGTTTATGGCCCAAATGCCCAAGAGCCAAGAGAAGCCAAACTGCCCCATAACAATGCCACATGGCCAAAAGGCCGAACGACTTTTATGTACGGCAAGGCAAGCCACTGTCCCAGCACCTTCGAGGCATTCACATCGCATTTGGGCTGTCACTTTTTATGACAGAGTTGCCACACTTGTGAAGACTTGCTTGATTTGTGATTCGAAATCTGGTTTTAAAGCGACATTATATTTGGCTAGATGCCAAATTCCCAAATGAGCCCAGATATAAATAAAACAAAGCTTTAAAGCGTATAAAGAGAAAACAAAACAGAAATGACAGCTATAAGCACAAATTTTACATTTTACAACGTATGTTATTCAGGTGGCAAATTTACTATTTAGCCTGCAAGTCAAATTTGGTCTTCAAGAAAAACATGGCAAGAATATAAAGTTTCTGCTAAACAGCAGATTCTTTTGAGTATCATTCGGGTCGAAATCCTGACAAATATTTGAGAAAATAAAGTATAAAGTTGAAGATTCGATTAAAATTTAATAAGAAAAAAGTAAGTTCCTGGTAAACACAAAAAGGCTGTTGTTGTTTCTTTACAAGTAGGAGTCAAAAGAACATCTTTACTCGTATAACTCTTATATTATTTAAAAATGATCAAATATCAAAGAACAAGTAAATAAAAAAACACAAACACAAAATAAAATAAAAAATGCAAGATATTGCCTTTTGGAAACCAGGAACATCTCGCTTTTAGTTAGTAAGTTTATCATTACCTGAACACTTCGCAGATTTTAATGTTTTTTTTTGGGTATCATTCGGAGCGAAAACCTCACAATCAACTTTCTGTTAAACAAAAAAACATAAAAAGTCTGTGGTTAGTTCCTTAAAGGTACGGCACGTACCTTACTCAACCAAAAAAAAAAACAAAAAAAAAATACATGAAAAAAAGTAAGAGGATAAAAACGGCATGAAGAAAAATATAAATAAAGAGTAGTCTGTCCTCGACGAGGCACCGAAGCAGACTGAGCCTCAAAGCAGTTGCCAACTCGAAAGAAGACAATTGTTGGGCATGGCAACGCCTACTTTGATGTTATACAAAACTTAGAGTTGGCAATGTTGACTCTTAAGAGTATGTTGATTGCATGAGCTAAGGATGACAGAATATCGGCTGAAGAATAAGGCCTTGAAAAATATATGATAAAATCAAGTGAAAATCCTCTATATGTTAGTGCTCTACTGGAAGATACCCTGTTCAAGCTTAGCTATTGTCAAGTGGCATGGTGTTAAGCTTTTAACAGTAGAGCCGAGTGAAAAGACATGTCCTTACAGTAACAGAACTGATCGAGACGCGTAGCTTTAACAGAGTCTGTTAGCTTAACGATGAGTCAGTGTGGAGAGAGGAGAAACAGACGGTCGTCAGTTAACAGATTGTTAACCGCAAAGTGGCCAAGCTAATGGTAAATTTACCACCTGATAAACGTGCTACTTATAAGAGAAATTATATATATGCTCTTACTGCTTGCTAAATCTCTAAATGTTTGAACAGATTTAACGCATTCTTATTCTTCTTCTGTTAAGTTATTTATTTTACTTATGCGATTCACTGTAAATATTCAAAACATCTTCAAAATTACAAAAATAATTTCCTTTATATATAACAAGAGGGCTGACTCTTCATAAAATGTGAAACACATCTCAAATGAATTTTCACTTTTGGTTTGATTTTTCGAATATTTGCTTACTTTTGTGTGGAGCACGCAGAAGGAATCATCACCTACCCCATAAAGTGTATGGCATGTTATTTACAATCAAGACAATCTTCACACTCAATTTCAATACTTTAGAATGATTTGCGAAATAGTTAAAGACTGTTGCAGCGTCACGATTATAAAATAATATAGGTACGCAGCGACTTTTGCATGCTCTATGCCAAGCCAGAAGCAGGGATGAAAGGTAACTGCTGTAAATGGAAAGGGTATATCTGGGGCTCTAACTGGCCGATAAACGTTATCAGAGCCATGATTTCAACAGTTTAACTGACTGTTGCAGCAGCTACCAGAGCCTTATCTGGGAACTGACCTATGTGGCAGATAAGCCCAGCTACAGATTGTGGCTGGGCATAAATACGACGATTGTATCAATTCAAGCAACAGTCGGAAAAGGGAATCGCTGCTGGACAATATGTTTCTGGTAACAATAGCTCTGGTCGTGCTGCTGGCGTCTCTGGGCTATGTGTTCCTCGTCTGGAACTATGGGTATTGGCGTAGGCGAAAGGTGCCCGGTCCGCGACCCTCGCTTCTTACCGGCAACTATCCCAACATGTTCACAATGAAGCAACATCCTATAAAGGATCTAAATGAGATCTATTGGTAATTGTCGCGATTCTATAACCTTCCCTATAGAGGATTCTGTCTACATAGACGACTCTCTCCTTCCCCAACTGCAGCAAATACAAGCAGCAGTATGATGCCGTTGGCATTTATGCGTCCCGCTCCCCCCAGCTGTTGGTTGTCAGCCCGGAGCTGGCACATCGTGTATTCGTTACGGACTTTAAGCACTTCCACGACAACGAGATAAGCGCCTTGGTGACCGAGAAGTCCGACTTCATCTTCGCTAACAATATCTTCACAATGACCGGGGAGGGCTGGAAGGAGCGCCGCTCCGATCTAACGCCCGGTCTAACCATAAGTCGCGTAAGCCTTCTGAGCACTTTATAAATGCTTTTTCATCTGCTAGCCGTGCACTAAATCAATTCAGGTCAAAGCGGTTTACCCAGTGACCAACCAGGTGTGCAGGAGGTTGAACGAATTCATACGCAAGCAGATCCGCATTGGATCGCCGGACGGCGTCAACAGCAAGGATGTGGGTGCTACATGGTTTAAATATCGGAAAGTCCATTTATCTCAGTTTTTTACGAACAGCTCAGCCTGTGCTTCACCACCGAAATGGTCACCGATGCCGTTCTTGGCCTGAGCGCCCAGAGCTTTAGCGAGCGGCCCACGCCGGTGTTGGCAAACATAAAGGCTCTCTTCGAACAGCCCTTGTCCGTGCTGCTGAGCTTCATAGCGGTGTCCGTGATACCCTCACTGCGCCACATCATAAAGCTGCGTTTTATACCCAAGCACGTCGAGGAGTTCTTTGTGGACTTCATGCAGGCGGCGGTCGGAGCGCGCCGTGGAACGCAATCCGATCGCGTTGACTTTCTGGACTACATTCTACAGCTGGCCAAGAAGAGGAACCTGGCCGCACGACAGCTAACCGCCTACTCGATGACCTTTCTGCTGGACGGCTTTGAGACAACGGCCTCTGCGCTGGCCCACACGCTGCTGCTCCTGGGACGGGATGCCGAGGCACAGCAGCGACTGCGCGAAGAGCTGCAGGCAGAACTAAACGATGAGGGCTTTGTCGCATTCGATAAGCTGGTCGAGCTGCCCTTTCTGGATGCCTGTGTTCACGGTATGTATAGGATTACTTGCTGCTGCTGCTCTCACAATAACTCGGTCTTACAATTCCAGAGAGCCTGCGGCTATTCCCTCCACTTACGGTCTCTAACAGGCTGTGCACTCAGCCCATCGAGTTGCCCAATCGGAACGGACCCAATTTCATCATAGAGCAGGGTACCACCGTCCTTGTGCCTCACTCCTGCTTTATGCTCGACGAGGATTACTTTCCCAATGCTCATCAGTTTCAGCCCGAGCGCTTTCTGGAGCCTAATGCGGTCAAAATGTATCGTGATCGCGGCGTCTTCATGGGCTTCGGTGATGGTCCCCGCATCTGCATCGGTACGTAATGCCATCATTGACCTGTTCCCATTTCATCCAATACTCACACTCCTTGGCTGGCTGCAGGCATGCGCTTCGCTTTGGCCCAGATAAAGGCAGCTCTTGTCGAGATTATTGTCAATTTCGATGTCAAGGTCAATTCCAAGACACGCAAGGATAACATGTTTAGTCCAATTGGAATTGTGACATCCCTCGAAGGCGGCATTTGGTTGGATTTCGCCGCGCGTCAATAATCGCAATAAAGCAAGAACGAATTCTAAATGTGTTTTCCTATCAGTTCAACATAACCCTTTAAAACAATGGTACGTATAAAATAAATTCTCTCAAAAATTCTTTGAAAATGAGCTTGAAACAGATCTAGAAGCCAAATTGATCTAAATGCCAAACCATGAACAACAAGTAAGAGGCTCAAGTCGTGAGCTCCCGACTAGGGGATACCCTGAATCCTCTTCTTCCAACATCAAATGCATATATAAATTCTATTTTAGAAGCTATATGTCAAGTTTGAGGACTCTAACTCTTATTATTTACCAAAATTGCCCAAAAATACGGACGGACGGACGGACGGACGGACAGACAGACGGACATGGCTAGATCGACTCCGCTATTGATGCTGATCAAGAATATATATACTTTATGGGGTCGGAGAAGCTTCCTTCTGCCTGTTACATACATTTGGATTTTGCACAAATACAATATACCCTTATACCCATTTTTAATGGGTACAGGGTATAAAAAAAACGAATTGAGCACAAAACATAAAACGATATATGCTCATACATATAAAACATGTGCAGATATCAACATACTCTGTAATTTCACGCAGAAGAGAATATTGATTTTATTACAACAAATCAGCCGAAGCTATTTCTCTTTGGCGCTTGCTCTCTTGATTGTTCCTTGTGCTGAGCTTGTCAGTGAAGAACTGGGATCGATTTTCGCACTGACCTCGATTTTGAAAAAAAAACCTGATGTTTTGGAACGTCATATCTCCAAGCGGAATTATGTCGTTTTGGAACGTCATATCTCCAAGCGGAGTTATGTTGTTTTGGAGTTATGTCGTTTTAGAACGTCATATCTCCAAGCGGAGTAAATAATCGATGTGCGCATATATTCAAAACTGTTTGTCCTGATTGATTGATTGATACACGCTGACTGATTGACTGGTGATCAAAAATAGATATCTGAAAGTCAAAATTACGGTGTAAAATGTTTGAGAAGATATCTTTAGGTGGTTTCGGTTAACAAATATATATTTGTAACCAATTTTATTAAGGGCCACCCAACCCATCTGCAAAGGCATAGAAAACCCAATATCAATGTCTACTATTCGGTATATTCTAATAATTTTGGGTGTTCTTGAGTTCAAAACAATTTTCACTTGAGAGCCAAAGAACCAAATTGCGCATCAGCTGTAAATCTGAGCCCTGGCTTCATTCAGAGTCTAAGCGAATTTCTGCTTCTTCAGCTTGCTGAAGCCGTCGCTCTGGTTCTTGCGCTTGACTGGGCCCCAACTGGAGAAAGGTGCTGGCGTCTGTTCCCTGAGGTTGGCCTTTGCCAGCTGGCGCAGTGGAGTCACCCGACCGCAAACATTCGGGCACTGCGATTGCTGTCCGACGGCCAATCCCGGCGTTCCCAGTTGATTTTGCAGCTGCTGCTCCATGGCGAGTCTCAATCTATGCAAAGCAAGGACAAAGCGAATTTTGAGAATCTAATGCATACACAACACTTTGCAGAGGGAGAGTTCGACTACTACAAAGAGTTTTATTAAAAAAAAAAAAAAGAAAGAAAATTGTATTTCTGGAGTTGTGTTCAGTGTCGTTGCTTAATAATAAATGCTTGAGCTTCATGTGATGCTTAAGTCATGGGCTTTTAGATCCAAAAGAAGTTTCCCAACTGAAAAGATTTATGATTAGAAAAAGTAATCTCAATGAATAGAATTTATGTACATATAATATATAGATAGCAAAGTACGACAGTAGATTTATGGAAGGGGAAAAACAAGTTCGAGGACCAAACCTAAGCTGTAAAGAGATCGTGATAAGATATAGTAACAATCCATTATTTACCTCCACTTAAAGCAGCCTAAAATGCATAAAACTCAATTGATTTTGCTTCAAATATAATTGTTTCAATTTAATTCTTGAATTTAATTGTATATAATTGTTGTTTTTATAATTTCGCTTTGATATTTGTAGTATACGAGTATAATATAGTATATATATATATATTTATATGTATATAATGTTCTCGTGCCTAATCGCACATATACATCTGTGTATTTCTTTTCATATATATATATGTATAAATATGTAATTAAAAGATTTTGCCTTTGGTTTGTAAAATACAATTTGACAAATATATTTATATATATGTAGATGTATGCATATATTCGCACTTTAAATTTATATATAAGTATTTGTGTGTTTGTATTTGCCATTTTTGTAGCTTAGAAAAAAAAAACCCTTTGGTACCCTTTCTAAATTTGGAACACGTTTTTCAACAAATTTTTAGTGGGGATATTCCGCAGCCCAAGTAAACTGCTGAAACTTGAATCTGGCACACATGATCGCCTGAAGATTTTTGCCAACGGCGTTGCCACATTTTCATTTTATTTTAGTTATACAACACTGTCAAAGCAACAAGGGGGCTGCCACACAGGCAGCTTTTATGCTCGGCAAAGTTAGCCTGTGCAAGCCCACATTTGACTGTAAAAAAAAATGATGTCTAGCGTTGCCACACTGTTAGCTTAACCAAATGTTAGTGCACTTGTCAACACTCAGTTATTGAATAAAGCTCACTCAGAGCTAGGGAATACCCCTTTAGTACTTATATATATAATACATATGCTTAGCTATTAATATACAGCTCCAATGTGCCCAATAGCTGAATCATTTGTATATTCAGAGATGTTTTATAGCTTGCATTAGGTTTTTGATTTAGCTTTAGTTGCAGTTGTTGTTTAGGTTTAATTAGTTGTTCCGCATAGTTTGATCTAGACTTTAGTTGAGTTTTTACATCATACAGATACGTATCTTAAAATATGTTATGTATATATATATCTGTGACATTAGTTTATTTAGTTGGATGGGTTGTTTATTTGTTTAAAGCTTTCGTTAGTCATACTTTGGTTGTAGTTCTTGTTGTAGTTGTTGTTCTTGGTCAAAAGTTAGCTCAGTGCTTACAAATTACAATACTTAACGCGCAGTTCAGAACAGATGTAGATAAATGTATATATATAGTTATATATATAGATAGATAGCTAGATAGATAGATAAATAGTTGGTTAGGTAGAGTAAAACATCTATGCAAAAGTCAAGTAAGTAGACAACGAGAATATTAAGAGACAGCTGGTTAGCCCAGAGTTAAGTTAGTTAAGTTATATATATTTTAGGATATTTGATGCAGTACAAACTATGTAGAATTCAAATGAGCGAAAAGGGAGGCCAATTGACTCGATAGAAATGTAAAAGACTTTGCCATAAAAGAGGACAGCATAAATAGCTAAGAGGCAGGCTTCTAAGTCAACTAAGTCGTGCTATATACAAAGAGCTCCCTACTGCATTTCAATAAACGAGTATAATTATTTTTTTAATTTTATGAAACTCGAATCATTTATTCGTTGTTTTTTTTTTTTTTTTTTTTTTTTTTTTTTTTTTTTTTTTTGTATAGTTACTTTGATTTATTTGAGTCTACTTTTCGTTTCACTTGTTTCTTTTATGTGTACTTTTCCTTGAGTCTCGTTCTCGTTCATTCTATTCGTTATAGTTCCGTACTCGTTAGTTCTACTCCTTAGAGCACCGTTCTCATTCGTTCCTTTCGTTCAGTTCGTCGATGTCCTGCCTTCATTCGTTACAATCCTGTTCACGCTGTTTCTGTCCATTAGAATTCGATTCTCGTTTCGGTTTCAGTCTAGCTCGCAACATATATTCTATAACTGAACGAGAAACGAGAACTTGGTGCATATGTATGTATTTGATGAGTCATTAAATGGAACTTAAACGAACATTACAATCAGCTCGAATATGTTAATATAGATACAGTTAAAGATACTTGTAGTTGGGATATAGCAAAATATGTACTCGTATGTGGGATATATTGAGCATTTGCAAAACAACAATCGACATAAATGTTTAGCACTTAATTTCATTATTTTTCTTATAGATATATCGAAATAAACTGGTGTGTGCGAGTTGTTCTTTGGGAGACAGTTACGAGTAAAGGTAAATATAAAGAGATTCGATAGCTTTACTAGATAATAATACTATAAATTAGGTTTGATTTAAGCGCCGTAGACGCAGCGCGGTAGACAAAAGCTGATGGCTTTTACGTTTGATATCAGCTCAAAATGCATGGTAACTATTTACAATGCAGTTGCATAGCAGCGAGCTTTGTTATCGCAGCTACAGAGCTCTTTGCTTTGACACACTTCACTGAAGAGTGCGTCAATTGTTTTGGCATTGAAAATGAATAAAACCACGCTGCATCAGCAAAAAACAAGCACAAATGGGAGAGTAAGTTTGCAAACAGAGAGAGAGAGAGAGAGAGAGAGAGAGAGAGAGAGAGAGAGAGAGAGAGACAGACTGAGTAAGAGAGAGAAAGAGGTGTCGCGTTTAGTATGAGTTTAAGAACACGTTGTCAATAGTAGTTGTTGCAATTGGACAACTTCAACTGTTTCTATGTCTTCTCTTCTCTATTATGCTCTGCTCTCTATTGATACATACTCTTATTTACTTACTCTCTGACCTACACATACTTAGCTGTGCTCTCTCACACACGCCCCCAATACAAATACACACACCCACTCACATACGCTTACATTAGCCTTAACATTTGTCCTCTCTCTCTCTTTCTCTCGCTCTCTCCTGCCGGTATCTACACCTGCTCGGCGCTCTCGTCCAGCACCATCGAGTGCAGATCCATGGCGGAGCGGGTCTTCCTCGGCGGCCTCGGCATCAAATAGTGACTCGTACTGGCTCCAACAAATACCGAATTCTGGCGCGGACGAGCCACGTGCGAGACATGCGAGGCGTAGCCTGAAATGAAAGAGGTATAATACGGATTTAGAGAAGAGTTCGAAATAGATAACATTCGAAAGGGGCAAATTTGTTGTATCTAGCTCCTATAATCTTCGAGTTATGTTAAAACAAACCTTGTATCAAAATCTATATTTATCGATGCTATAAAACCCGGAGACGTTATCGAAAAATATGAATAAGCGCGTTCTGTAAATGAGAAACGAGCGCATCTTTTTCAAGGACGAACAGATGGACACACAGGGTCACGATTGCTGAGCATGTGTTGACACTTACGCACACACACGCTCTCGCACGCACACACACACACACACACACACACATAGTGGAAGACATACTCATTTGTGAAAAACAAGTTTAATATACTATTGCCAGCGAATCGTGCATCCATTTCCATTAACATTTCCATTACCCCACAACAAGCCATTTTCCCTTCGGCTACGCTCAGCCTTTTGCCATGTGCGCGTGTGTGTGTGTGTGTGTGCGTATCTCTGTGGTTGTGCGTGCGTTTCCGCAAGATTTAATTGCATAGCCATTGTCGGAGCCGGAATCGGAGTCGCAGCATCCTCGAGAGACTAGAGCCGAGAGTTGAGTCGAAGAAATGGCATTAAAACTGTATTGTTATGTGCTTCGTTTGCGCCTCGCTGCCGCCTGTCGCCACCCACACCGCCCCCCTCCCCACCTGGGGCTTAGACGCATGCAAGCAGCCCCCATTCGGCCACCCTGTTGTGCAGTTTAATTGTCTGGCAACTCATTAAAAGTCGAACAAAAATGCTGCACTTAAAGCGAGACACGCCTCGACTAGCGAGCATTAAGCATATTTATAAGCGCTTTCCCTGTTCTCTTTCTTTTTCTCTGTCTGTCTCGCTCTCGCCATTTCCCTCTCCCTCTCTCTCGCGGTGCTCGCTGAATGTGGCGCTAATGCGTAAAGCTCAAACATGTTCGTCCGGCATAAAAGTCAAGACTATTATATTCGAAAAACTACTTAAGAAGGTTGCATTTGACAGTGCTCGACTAGAAGATACCCTGTGTATGGCTTAAAAGCTAATTGCTCAAATTTAAAATATTTTAATTGCTTTTTATATCCTAAGCATAGGCCTCGACAAAAAACTATATATTACCTATACTCTATTGACTATTGTCTTGCCCTTGTGACTCTTGTCACATAATAAATTCGGTATCTCTAGGTCTTATAGTCAGTCCCTAAGTTCTTTGAGTTCGTCTAGAGCATTGCATTTCAATATTTACAGGGTGCTGCAGAAGACATGCAGTGTTGTAAAAGGACCTGAATTAGTGATGAATGAGGTACATATAAGGCAAAAAGTATGCTAGCAAGGGAATATATGCATCAAATGTAAGTACTGCAGATTAAGACAATTCACGTGTGCATGTTAGTTTATATGTGGCTGTAAAACTTTTTACAGCACTTTAAAGTTATGCTCGCAGCATTTTACAACACTGCATAAAATTAATTGCGGCTCACAGAAGATTTGTTAAGGTGCGCTGTGTTCAACACTTAACTTGAGCGTTTGTTATCTTTATTTTTCTCTCTTTTTGATCTTTAAGCTGAGCCAGATTCCACAAATTATTTATGGAAGCAGCTTTAAGAGCATGTGTACACACAAGCGTGTATTACCCGGCATTCTCTGGCTCAATTTAAATAGAGATTATTTTCCGTGCAAAATATAAAAATGTACTTCAAATAACTTGAACGTGATAAAAAAAATAAAAATATATAAGAATAATAAGTCCTTGCATGCGTTTAATTTCTTCTCACAGATTTTTTCTCATATGGATTATTCAGAATAAGTTTTTGCAAGATTTGTTGGGTCAACAATTTCGAAAAGTTTTACCATAAACTTTTTGCAAGTCAGTTCGATGCGATTAACGCGAATTTCAAGTGCAATTTATTTGCAGCGCAAAGTTTGCAACGCATTGGGACGGCGCTCGAAAGTAGGCAACAGAACATGCAGCACGAGTTGACACACACACACACACACACACACATGTAGAGGGGGTTGCCGTGTGTGTGAAGATGTTGTTCGATTTTAATTGCATTTTGCATTTGCATTTTTCGCGAATTTTTTCTTTTCGCTACAGGCGAACAAGCAAAAAAAAAAAAGCACGTAAAATGTGCAGCATGCAACATGCGGCACCAGCGGAAAGGGGGCAGAGTGCGGGGCAGCTTGCGGCGTGGCGCCAAGGACAATGCTTACCCTTTGCATAGAGGCTCGGGTTATAGGCCGCGAATTGACACGTTGGCATATTCAGATTATGATTGTGCACCATGCCCATCGACATGCGGGATACGGAGGCGCGCTGCAAAGAAGAAGAGAGAGAAAAAAATGTGGCAGGTAAGTTGAGAAAGTTGAATAAATTGTTATCAGACATTTTTGCAGAGACAAATGTTATGCAAAACAAATTAAATTTCAGCGCATCTGAAAATGTTTTCAATATCTTTTTATGACAGAAGAGTCTTTTGCCTAAATTCAAGACAACTTGTCTCTTATCTAGAGATTTTTTTGTAAATTTATAATATTACTTCACTTGTCTAATATATTTTACGATTCACGCTTCGAAGTTGGCTTCGGTTCGAGAATCTGTTTTCTTATATATTTATTAAGGTTTGTAGTTAAGCCAAAATTTAAATACGTGTTGGCCAATTCTTATTGATGCTGTCATAGGCTCAGACTATATAAAAATTATATATTTAATGAATATGTTCTTTTAAACCAAAGTAAGATTTGATCTCCTTGTTAGGCAACTGAGTCGATTCAAGGCTTGGAGCTTGAATCGGTTAGGCTTGAAATCGGTTAGCGGGATAAATTCCCATTCGTTCGTGTTTTTTTTCTTTCTACTAGGGTTATTTTTCTTAAAATATGCCTGGAATTATAATTTGGAACTTCTGTTCATATTGAAAAAATCCAAACCTTGGAGATAATACTACTTAGTATTGGATTAGCACCCCGATTGACTAACATATATCGAAGAGCCTGAAAGTCTAATAACACATTGAAACACATATTGAAAACTTTTCGATGCTCTACAGCTTTTCGTGCGTTATCTGGGAAGATCTGGTATTTTAAATGTATTTCGAACATATCTTACCTGATGCGTTTGGACCGCATCTATATCGACCAGGGGACAGGAGCTGCGATGCTGTTGCTGGAACTTGGGCTGATAGGGCTCCAGCATGCGTATCTTGCCCCAGCGATTGAAGAAGAGCATGATGGCGCCCACCCACAGGATGAGCACGAGCCCAACAATGAGCACCTCCTCGGTGCGCACTATGATCTTCGGACCTGCAATGGCAAACGAGAAGGGGCAAAATTGTAAAATGCTTTTGCTGTATGTTGGGATTTTGAATTTCTCTCAGCGCACGTAAAGCGCATAAATAACTCAAGACGACGCCGCAGATTGGAATTCAATTATCACGCGGCTGCTGCCACATTCTGTCGCCGTTGCTGAAAGCTGTCCTTGTACCTCCCCATCTTCCTTTTGGCCGTGGCAAGCCAATTGGATTACAGTTAAGACCATAAACATTCAATTACTCGTATCCTGCGCATTCTGGATACATGTGTAGCGACAAATCTTCACGGATTTGTTTTAAAGTCGTGCTTGTGCTGCGCCATTTACGATGTTCTCCTAAATCCAATAACATCGCATTACAATTTTTTTTTTAGATTTTCTCTTTGTTAAGCTATGATTTAGATTTGGATATGGCAGCGCCAGGTGCGTGTCGACCTGTAATTTTCGCAATTTGACAGCAGCAGACGTCGGCTAAGCTCTTAATTTAGCATTCAGGCAGCGCTAAATGTATGCTGGGAGGTTCACTAAGCGATCTGGTAGCGCTGGCTAAATGTCTATATAACGTGTGGCAGCTCTAGATGTGGACAGCACTGGCAGCACTGGGTGTGCGTTGGGCGGTTACTTAAGCAATCTGGTAACACCATTCGTGTGATATTTAGTTTTATATGATTTGGCAGCACCACGCGTGGTTTGATGTATGATCTTATCAGTCTGGCAACAACAGATATGGATGAATTTGTTACGTAAGTAATCTGGCAACACTAGATATTTGCAAAGTGTGTGAAGTTGGCTGCGCATCAGTGACATGAAGATAAACTGCATGTCAACGACATAATTGTTAATGTCGCTTTAAAACGGCATATCATCATGTGAAATTGTGCCGATTGTAAATCGGCGGACCTATGAAATGCAGTCGCAATGCCGTCAAAAACATCGCTCAGTGTTTTATCTACAATTAGGCACATTTCCTCTCATCTCTCTTTAACTCTCACTGCTTTGGCTACACTAGTTAAGATGGCTGCGCCTGCATTTTGTATGTTTTTTAAAGATTTAGTTAGGTTCATTAATTTCTGAAGTCAGATGCAGACGTAACATTTCCCTTAATCCCAGTCATTAGGCGCGTACCGATCAGATACGCGAATTTCCCCAACAATACGATTTTTATCCCGGCTTAAATGCGGTCGGGCATGCAGATTAATAAATTAATAGCTTTAAGTGGGATTAGTGTCATTTGAGTTCGGTTTTTTGGGTCAACTCACCCGTTTCGGGCTTTGTGCCATTTGTGGCAACGGTGGCCCCGGGGGGCTCCTCCTCCTGGCTGCTGGTTATTTCGGAGATGTATTCATCGGATGTGTTGCTGCTGCCACGTGCAGCATTTGGTGACATGGCAGCTGTTTGCTCGACCTCTACGAGAAAGTTGGTGCCGCCCTTCCAGCCGGAGCCCCACTCTGTGAATTAGTTTGCGAATTGAGTTCATCAATCGAGTGGCATGCCGCATGCCGCATGCCGCTTGTGGCATGTGGCATGTGGCATTTTGCAAGTTTCAAGAGGCATATGGCACGTGGCATCTATGCGTCATCTACTCACCTTCAGAGATGCCAGTCGAAGTGCTGGCCTCCTCGGCGCGTGCTCCCAGCTTAACAACTGCAAGTACCAATAAAAACAACGGGGAAGAACGGGTTAAATGTGTTGCAAAGACAAACGATAAACTTTCGAGTGCGGCACTCGCATGTGGCAAGTGCCAAGTGGAAAGTGGCAAGTGGCGAATGTTGACTCGGCCACTGCCAATCGACTGCCATTGATTCAGTTTACCTTGGCCAGCAGCCAAGATGAATATGCCAAAAAGTTTCTTGAAGAGCAACTAAACTTGGCCAACTTGGTCATGAGTTGTCATCAAAGAATGCTTTGGCTACGAATTTGTCATGATAGTGAACGTAAGCGAAGCAAAGATACACATAACTATCTGATATGATAGCTAACAGACTTGTCAGTGGTCGGCTAATGAGTTTGCAGAGTTTACAAAGGCAATTCCCAAATTTATTCCTTAATACTTTAACCTTGATAGCATTTTATTTTGCCAAGCTATTCAAATAATCAAACTAGCTGAAACTGTCAGTAGATAACCTTAAAGGAGCTATACTTCTTCCATCTGTAGCCCCACACTATCATAAATCCACTCTAGATTAACTTCGGTGTTTAAGGTCAGATTTTTGTAAAAATTTTAAGGATCTTTAAAATATTTAATTTTGGCAGTAATGGGAGAAGGTATTTAAAATATTCTGAATTTGTGTGTACCACATGAGAATCTATGCACATACTAAATTTGGTGTGTCTAACTCTTATCCAAAATCGGTATTTATCGAATTTAAGAAAGTAGCAGAAGACATCGATAAGAAACAGAAACAGCGATGCAATAAACAAGAATAAGTTTTAAGACTGCGAACAGAGTATTGGCTTTATTTCCGTGATAGTATCTGCATTAAACACTTGGCTCGACTTCATTCCCCCCACTCGTGTCAATAAGAAAAAAGGCAATTCAATTTCAATCATCAATTCAAGCAATAACCTGGCGCAGCCAACTTAACGCGCACAGCTGCCAAGCACGTCAAGTGCTGCCAGATCGTTGCAGCATCGCAGAGTGGCAGCGTTGCCGCACCACAGCTAATGCAATTGCAATTATAATCAAGCACAATTTAATTGTAATCCATGGCAAACTTGGCGACTCAGCGGGATTTGCTCCTCGGGTGAGCAAATTGTTTAAAATGGGGCGAGTGGGCGAGAGGCGAGTTGGCGGCGTCGGACGGACGTATAGAGTGCACTGCATCAGCACTTTTGGCGTGATTCCCCGGAGTGTTGCATGGCTTGATGCGGCCAATTCACATGTGCAACTTCATGTTGCATGCAACGTCCTTCAGCCAGAGCCCCACAAGCCGCCCTGCCTCCCCATCCCCGGCGCACAGAGCAACTGGCTGAAAATGTTTTTGCTAGCTGAGCTTGAAAAGTGCTTGTGTCAGACACCGGAGCAGGGCATACACACACATGCACACACGCACACACGCACACACACACATATGCACACATACTGATATAGTTGTTGGTGCTATGAACGCAATTTACGAATATGAGAAACTTAAGACGCAACTTTTGGCACTTGTTTAGTGCATTAAAAGTTACAGCTGAAGCAGCTAGCTGCTGGGCTGAGGGTTTGTCGGGGGGGGAGGCGAGGGGGTGGCATTACTTAGTGCCTGTTGTGAAGATGGTGATTTATGGCATAACCACAAGAGCTGGAATGCCATCAATTCAATCTCTTCAAGTAAAGTCAACCAAAAAAGACGCTAGATATGTTATATGTATATATATATTTGCTCGACTAGGTAATACCCTGTAGCCGATCTCCTGTTTATGAATTAAAATGCAAATAAAGGAATTGCCCTTCGAGCAGCTTTCACTGAAGTTCAATTTAAACATACATTTCTTTTCCAGCTATATTTTTCTATACTTTTCAAACTTGTTAAATTTAGAGGTCGTATAGTCCCTGAGTTCAACAAGGAGCAGGCTGCGATTAAGTCGACTTTTAATGTTGATGAGGAATATATCTAGTATGCATACAGTAGTTCACAGCCACGCCTTGAACCCCAAATGCCTCTTAAGTAGATGCTCGCAATTTGGTCGTTCACACATTTGATGGTGCTTTGTGCCCCCGACTCAGCTAGCCATTACCAAATACTTTAGCCCCTTTAGGCCCTTTATACCCTGTGTACCCTTGCTGAGATGCTGTCCTCGAGTAGCATTTAATTTATTTATATGCTTGCTGCTCATTTAGTTAATTTGCTTAATTTGCTTAATCTACGCCCGAAAACGAGCTAATTAACATGCACAAATTATGCGCAATTCCCGCGAGGCATCGGCTGGGTCACAAGATCAGGGAGCAAGAGAGAGAAACAGCGAGAGACCAAAACTAGACTAGACTAGACAACACACAGGCAGCAGGAGCTAAAGATAGAAACAGTGAGGGATAGGAAGACACTTTTCTGGAACTTTGCCCTGCTGGGACAATGCGAATGAGGGATTCCCTGTAATTTATGAATGAAACAGCGCATAAAAATGCAAAGAGTAGACGAAAAAAAAACGTAAATTTAGAAATAGAAAGCAAAGGAAATCGTTTAAGAAAGTAGGAGAAGAGGCTAGAAATGCGCACAGAACAATAAAAGTGAATTCGTTGGCCAAAAGGGTGAACCGGAAGGAAAGTCCAGGTAATCAGGCTGTGCGTGTGAGTATGTGTGTGTGTGTGTGTGACACCAAAGGTAAACCTGGCAATTAAATGCTCGTTAAGTCAAAACCAGCAGCAGTAGCAACAGCAGCATGTGAGCCACTCTCAAATTACTTAACGCAATTGCAGTGCAGCAGCAAAAAGAAAAGAAAGAAAGAAAAAAAAAGACACAAGTAGAAAGCGAGCCATAAAACAAGTAAAACTGAGCCAAGGCAACTAGAAGATACCTCTTAGTTAATACTTAAGGCACCCTAAGCCCATTCCCATGAGCCGCAAATATCCAAACATGCTGCTCTCTCTTTTGTTGCCCGCCTACAGACAATACTTTCTGACATAACTCGGCTCCGTGTCATGCGATTATCATGAAACTTTCGGCACTCTGAGTAAATGTGCTCAAATATACGCATACCAAAAACCGAGACTATAGCTTTTATATTTCACCTTCTAATTGACTTTGCTAGATTTATTAAGAGATTGTTAAAATCTGGAGACAAAATATGAATCTTAATATTTCTTAATGAACTATCAAAGGTAACCAGAGAATATAGAGAGAATAAAATATGATAATAAATCTTATTCAAGCCAAATATACCCATTTTCGAAGGCTACGGGGTATCGCAGAGAACAATTAAATTCTTGGCTTTTCAAATGACAAACGCGTTGTGACTGAAGCTTAAGAAATCCTGGCAATTTGCACACGTGCATGAAATTGAGGCACGCCTCCCCCACACACCCCTGGCCCACGCCCCTTTTAATCAGCGAGTATCGATACCAAAGTATCGGCGAAGATTGTTGTTTCAATTATGAGTAAATGTACTCGAGAGAACAGACAAAGCGAGAATCCATTGCCGTTTAATAATTCATAAAGAAATTACAACAAGAGCAACACACACACACACACACACACACACGCACACACGTGGGGTTTAATATAAAAGTGGGAAATAATATTGATTTTCTATGTATTGCAATAGACACACACTCACACTCGTTGGCCAGCTTCGATGGCAGACAGTTGCTTTGTAAATCAAGCAAACAAATGACACACACATCCACACACACACGCACACACACGCATACACACATGCACACACATGTGTTGTTAACTCAACATGACACATGCAAAAGCTACAATCGTGTGGGAGAAAAACAACAAATTACAACAAGAAATATGAAAAAAGACGGTGTTTCCTTTTAACCACGTCAAGCCAAGCGTGGAAATACCCTGCAATGTCTGCGGCTGTAATAGACATTATGGTCTGTTTTGGCTTATTACCAAATGAGGTCCATAATGAATTAAGATTTTAGAAAAGTTTTTAATTTAATAACATATTTCGGATTAAGTCAATTTTCACAAATCCCAACATAGCTGTAGGCATATTTATTAGATGCATTTTGAAATCTTTAAGAATTATGAAGTTTTTCTTCCCTCAACAAAGGCAATTGCTAACATGTATAAAAACGGGCTCGAACTTTTGAGTAGGAATATCTCAGCTGTGGACTCGTTTATTACTATAACTGATTTTACCAAAACATAATAAGGAATAGAAAGATGTTTTAATGAGCACACAAAAAGTGGGTTTGTTTGGGATATCTGAAAGAATACATACAGCTTTCTTTAGAATAGCAGATGGATTGAACTACAGCTAGTTTGTATATTATTAAGCAATGAACTAAGCCTTATTAACATTCATTTATACACAATAATGGAATTTGAACCAGCATCCTTTATTTTGATACCGTGGTGTGCACATACATATTTAAGTAATTTTATATATTTACACACATGCCACTATGGCCTTTAGCTTAGACAATGCTACATTCGTACGCAAACATGGGATTTAAACCGGCATCTTTCGATAGCTCATATGCCGAGGTGTGCATATATAAATTTAAATATTTGAACTAATCGAGGGGTAAGCGCGTATATATATTTTTGTATATTTACATACATGTCACGCAATTTTTACACACCTCATGTGTGTTTGCTTTTAAGTGTTACGTGAGCACTGACTAAATTATAAAACTCTTCTTTTTTTCGTCTGTGTAGTGTCGAGTTGTGCATTTCGATTTCGAGTGATTCGCCGCGATATACTCTGCAATGCAGTGCAGCTGAGCTAAGGCAACAGGGCTGCCACCCTCACAGCCCCCTCAAGAAAAGTGTTGCCTATCCACGAGGCGCATTTAGACACACATTTTAATGGGCTGGCGGCTAAAAGCAGCTGCGACAGCTACGTCAAGTGAGCCACATAAGGCGCAGAGTGCTGGCTAAGTGATCCAGAGGGGTTGCGTGGGGGGTTTCAGCTGACTAATTAAAATTGTTGCTGTTGCTGTAGAAATTTCATTTTGGTGGCAAGCACAACTGTACTTCGAG